TTTCCATAGTAAAATGCATGAATTCATAAATAGAAGTATATATGTGTATGATTTATATGTGTTGACATGTTATTGTATATATGTATTATATGGTTGATATGAATATGTGATTATGAATAGGTAGAAAGGAAACAAATGATGATATAAGAATCTATTATAAGATATATGATATGAAAATATGATATGAGCTATGTGAGATATGAATATAAAATCATATGAGAAGTGAAAAGAATTACATGAAAATAGACTAAGTGATTACATGTATATGTGAAAGAAGCTATGAGCTTTTATGAATATGTGATATGAATGAAGCTATATGATACGATCTATGTGATTACATGCACATATGATATATGTTATATGAAATGACATATGAATAGGCAATACGTGATACATGTGATATGACATGGAATACATGGTTACACATACATGTGGTATGTGACAGAAGAGAAATGACAAGTAATGTGAACTGTTAAATGATAATGCCCATGTTATGTGATATGAGAGCTAGGGTATAGTTGGCATGCCAAGGGTCGAGGGTTTACCTATGTTCTTCGGGACATATGGACTGTTTACCTATGTTCTTCGGGACATATGGACTGATTACCTAGGTTCTTCAGAATCTATGGACTGGTCCTTCGGGACATTGACAGCATATGTGTGCACAACCTCAATGTACTCACATACCTTAAGTTCTCACTAGTGTGCATGGGCTAATAAAGTGATTAAACAAGCATACTGAATGTGATATGTATACGATGGGTTTATAAATGGTTATCAAAGGTAAGTGGTTTGAAATGTGTTACATGAACCATATGATGTTATGTGTTTCTTAATGATAATGATAGAGATTATGATAATGATGGTATATGTTTATGTATGCTTTATGTTATATGAAATATTATATGTTTTATATGCCTCACTAAGTCATCGACTTAGCGTGTGATTGTTTCACACGTAGGTTTGGAAAGCGAAAAGAAAAGTAAAGAGGAACAAGACAGGTCAGTTCTCCTTACCGAATGTCAAATCAGAAGAAAGGTGAATAATATGTATTTTTGTATATAAAGTTCTAGTTGGCATGTAATCAAAAGAATATATTGTATAAGCTCTGAATAATTTTGTAAATATTTTGAATAATTTAAATGTTATAAAAGTTTTTAAATTACTCATTATTTTATACAAATAAATTCTTGAAAAGTTAATATGACACTTCGGACTCGTATCCTGGTCGGATACGGGTTGGGGGTGTTACAGGTACTGTTCCCAAGAGTAGAGGCTCCACTCCAAACAGTAAATCTAGGTATGCTATTCTACAGTTTTTTGTATTCGATCTTTGCTCTTCTCTCTTTCTAAACATAATGATATTGTTTACAAGAAAATCAGCGATAAAACAGCAGAATTATGACCAAAAAACGAATAGGGAAGAAGATGGAACTCTAGAAACTTAGGGTTTAAAACCTCTAGTTTTTTCCCTATTAATTCAAAGATAACAATAAGAAAGTTATGGCTGTAATTACTCTAGAAAACTTAGGGTTATAAAACATCACATGATGTTTGATTTCAAACTGTTTAATATGTTATGGGTGTGGGATTTGAGCATGGAAATCCAAACACTTTCTGCCTATTCTAGTAACCTGAGTTATTTTAAACCTGAAGCTGAATTCTGGTAAAATTATGGCCTTATGAATTGAGACATAGAGCGCTGAAATCAGCTTACTTTTCTCTTGATCTTACTTTTTTTTGTAGTCAACTTTCTGATAGAAGTTACCAGAGTGAATTTTAATGTAGTGGAGGATAATTGTGAGAAAAACCCTCAGTATTTCCACTTTTCCTGCCATCTTGTTTTTTAAGTCTCTAGCCTCTTTTGGTGGCTAATTTTGCTTTCCGTTCCACACTGCCCTTTTAGATATTTAGATATAGTTAACATTTTTGCAGTTCGGTTTTCAATCCTGGTCTGGTGACCAATGGTACTGCTTCAGATAAATCTAAGATGGATTATGATGTAAATGGAGAGGTAGAACTCTTTAATGAAGTATATTATCTATGATGCATTCAAACTTTTATAGTATTTTTCATTTTTGAATTATGTTCCTCTGTATTTACTGTACTCAGGGTTTAAGAGAAGCTATAAAGAATGGTGATGCTGCTGCAGCAAAATACTTTTAAATGAGGTTTGTGATGATTTTATTCCAAAGTTCAAATAGAATGAATTTTTAGGTATGATTACATATGCAGGGTGTAGATGCAAATTACCGTGATAAGCAAGGATTATCCTTACTGCATCTGGTATTGTTCTCTCTCCCTCTCTGATGTTTATAGTTTGTTGCATGTGACTGCAATCATTTGTATGTGTTCGTCAAGGGTGGCTGATTGGATGCGTAGTTTTGTTTTCCGTTTCTTTCCAAATTTATTACACTGATGATGATAATAACTTGATGTAGGCGGCATTGTTCAATCGAACTGATATAGTGTTCGCGCTCATGGACTATGGTGCAAGCATGGACTACAAGAATGCACAAGGTAATCGAATATATGCCGAGTTTTGTAGCATTCCTGATTTTAAATATGTCTATCTACAAATTGAAGTTACGCACAGTAGATTTTTGAGGTTACTTGAAGGTGAAAATGTCTTTAGAAACTCCTCTGATTCTGGATAAGATCAAGCATTAGAAAGGGGGAAAAAACTTACCTTTCCATTTGAAAGAAATATGATATTCATGGTATAACTTTGTTGAATGCTGCGGGGATTTGTACAAGTCAATAATTGAGAACACTCCATCCTTTTCATTGCTGATTTTAGTTGGTGGCATGTCCAGCTCAGTTTTGTATGAATCTGTTTGTCTCCATTTTTATTTCCAGGAGAAACGCCATTTGATTGTGCACCAGTCACTTTGCAATACAAGATGAAGTTGAAGATGAAAGAGGGCTAGTGCCTTGAAACCAACTAGACAAGAGGATCTGAAGGGAGATATATAATTTGCTCAGACAACCGAAAAACTCCAGCTTGAGCTACAACTTCAACGATAAATATTGATATAATGCTTCATCCCATCATCAGCTTAGTGTTGGTAGTGTTTGTATTATAGCTGGTAGATGAACTATCAAACAAGATTCCGGACATAGAGGCTCAATCAATGTGTCTTGTTTTCCTTTTTGTTTTGTTTTTTATAAACAATGAGAATGCTGTTGTAATGCAATACAAGTTCCAATTAAAATGCTAAACTTGTTAGTTATGTCACTGTTTAGTTAACATGTAACATGCGGCGGATAATGTGATGGTCCACTTTAGTCGGTTGAAGAACTAGGCCGTTGAAGTAAGGTTAAACTGTGTCTTCAGTCCCTGTTCTTCACATTTACGTTTACGAAATTGAAATTTGGTCTTTTTTACTAAAGTTTAAAATTGAGTGCTTTTACTTTTGTGATTAGGAGTTTATAAGTTGAGAAATAATCAAAGCGAAATTAATACGAAATAAGACGCATGCAAAAACGTTGGCTTCCTTTACATATTAGAAAAACAATAATCTTCTATAAACATAGAGTAAATATGTATGGTATCTCATATATCTTAAACCCGGTATGTATATTCAAACACGGTGTAGCTCAAAACAATATTCTAATATTCTTATAAAACTCATCTCTGCAACGTAAATTTCTTCAAAAGTAGCAGAGACTATAAAAAAGATTACATCTCTCTAAAATATTTTTTTATCATAATTCTAAAGATTAAGACATTTTTTATTTATAGAACCAAATATTTAGTCATTAATAATCCTTATTCTATAAGAATTTTTAATAAAAAAAATTGAATTATCAAGTATTATTCAATCAATATAATTAAAATAATCAATTAGAATTTAATTCAATATTAAACATATTTATATTAAATAGAGAAGAAAAAGGATTTATATCGATATTTACTTTGGGATTACATTCATACAAGGTAGCAAGTTCATTGCTTGTAAAATGCTTGTGAACTGTAACTTACTGTAGGGTCGGGGTACAAATTGTGTGCTGGTAGATGAAAACATTGATCTAACTCTCATTTGTTGGTAAAGTTAAGATAAGTTTAGCCTTTTAATCTTTATGATAAACGTTGATAATATAAACATGTTCCCTTGGTAGCAAACTTATCCCCTCGAGTTTCTTTAAAGATATTTCAGAATTTGACCATTAACTTTAGTGGAAAGACACAAATGTAAAATTTTCAAAAGCTGCTCCCTTTTTCTTGGCCTTTGTTTTTGTTGAATCAACTTTGGCTTAAAACATAGCCAAAAAATGTTTGCTTGATGTTGTAAGAATGGATAAGTTTTTTTTTTTTTTTTTTGGAATTCTCTCATTTTGAATTCCTTTTTACTTCATTTCGTGCGTACGGCGGAAAAGAGAACAATAAGCCTCGCCTCATTCCTTTAGGGCAACTAGATAGAGGTGGATCAAGAAGGCGGAAAGAGTAATCATTATCTTAAAAAATTTAAATTTTTATATATTTTATATATTTTTTAATATTTTTTATTAATAATTTATTTTTGTCTTCTAAAATTATAAGTTCACCCCTTAGAATATTATAAGTTCGCTTTCTATCATAAAATTTTACATTTGTCCATGCAACCTCGGTCCATCCTTACCTGTTCGAAAGATTCAACCCATTTGATAATAAACGCTCGAACACACATGATATACTATGTGTTTGAACTCGAAATCTTTAAAATCATCTTTCAACTACTATGATGACTTGATTCGTGCGGAACAAAAGTTTCTTTTAATCGCTCAATTTATGCTACAAATTAAATTTAAAATTACGATGAAAATAGATTCGTTAGGATGGTAATTTAAAAAGAGCAACGTCCATATGGAGTGTTACCTAATCGCGACATCTATTCCAAATAAAGCAGCGCACTATGTTGCGATATCTTTGGGTCCCCTCCCCTCCTCTCCCCTCCCCTCCCCTCCATTTGCATAACATAATGTCCTAAGATGCTTGTTTAAGTCTCATTCCATTTCTTCTCACTAATCATCACTTTGCTTTACCTTGTTTTCCGATGCGTTTCTTCTTATGCGGTCCAGGTCTAATCATAACCCATCTTCTTTACAAAACAGCTCTTGTTTTAGCGGTCTTAAGATGGCTCTTCTCTTGGCCTCTTAATCTCAGCTTTAAACACATCAATTCCTTCTTTTCTTCTTCATCTGTTTCCTCGCAAATGATCAGAGACAACCTGGCCCTCACCACCTTCGGAGACGCCAAGGAAAGGATGCCTTGGGTTTCCGACACCTGTGCTGTCTGCTTGTCTGACCTCGAGGAAGGTGATGATGTCCGGGAACTGAGGAACTGCTGCCACGTGTTCCATCAAGATTGCATTGATAGATGGGTCGACCATGACCATGACCATCATGATGATCATGACCATAATCACAGTACTTGTCCCCTTTGCAGATCTCCTTTAGTCACTTCTTCTCAAAGCTTGGTTCGGCCTAACAATGAACCCAGTTGGGCCGTTGATCGCCTGCTCTACCTATTTGGGGATGATCTCCTTCCTTAGTTTAAATCCACCCTTAATTATCTATTTTTTATGTTTAATTTCATTTATTGTCAACCATTAGATTGATATTGTCTTATTTAAAGTTTTTAACTTAACCGAGTAGAGCTATTTTTTTCACTCATTCTGTATAATGTAGAAATTCCATACACAATTAAATATATATTTTATTAATGCATATTGATGATTCATTTTATCATAGAGATTTAAGAAATTATGATTGTTTTTTTGGCATATATAATTGTACATTTTTATTTTATTTTATTTGAAAATGACTGTATATTTTAAGGAATGTGAAAATGGGTCAATTTATTAAGTTTTAATTCTATTATATAATGCATAAACCAATCGATATCAGTGGTTAAAAGATTTATTGTTATCACTTAAGATTTCGAATTCGAACACTACGTATGTCAAAGGCTATAAACATTCAAATGTCAAATAATTGAAAGTTATTTTTAAATAGATATCATTATTTAATCAATCCAGATTTATTAAAAAAAACCTATTATAAAGACGATAAGTTTTTAATATATTAGATAAATTATTTTTTATCTAAAACTGATGAGTTGTTTAGATTTTTAAAAAATTAAATATTAATATTAGTCAAAGTTTTCCTCTTTAAACTTATTTTTCTATTTTTTGATAAATTAAATTTTATAATTAAAAATCCATAAATGAATGAAATATATTTTTTTAAAAGTATAAATATAATTAAGATTAATACATCTATTAAATTAATAATTTATATATATTTAAATTTTAATTTTAAAAAATAATTATAGAATAAGGTAACTCTACTACTAAACTAAAACTTCATTAACGAGTGAGTTGCGAACTTTGATGAAACTTGTAATGATAATTAAGTTTATTGGTAACTATTATTATCATCCTTTATCCAACTTTTATTTTGGGACCGCGCATGATAATACGAGATTGTCTCATGAAAGGTAGATTAATATACGATTAATATACAATGTTATCGGATACATTAAAAGATATTTGATAAATTCGGTTTAGCGCTACCGGAAATATCGAGTAATAATAATATAATAGGTGGAAATCATGAAGAAATATTAAAAAATTTGACAACAGGCAAACTTAGCTTGCCGGTTTGTGTCGATACTTTATAAAAATATATTGATCCATAACAATATAACAGGTAAAAAAATGACAAAACCGGTATATAAATGACAAAACAGGTAAAGTGCTACCGGATATATTGAAAGTGTCGATACTTTATAAAAATTTATCGATCCATAAAAATATAACAGGTAAAAAAATGACAAAACCGGTCTATAAATGACAAAACAGGTAAAACACTACCGGATATATTGAAAGTGTTGATACTTTATAAAAATGTATCGATCCATAACAATATAACAGGTAAAAAAATAACCAAACCGGTCTATAAATGACAAAACATGTAAAGCGCTACCGAATATATTGAAAGTGTCGATACTTTATAAAAATGTATCGATCCATAACAATATAACAGGTAAAAAAATGACAAAACCGGTCTATAAATGATAAAACAGGTAAAGAGCTACCGGATATGTTGATAGTGTCGATATTTTATTATAAGTATCGACACTTTTGGAATTTAAAAGAGAATAAGTTATAGCGCTAATAAAGTGTCGATACTTTATAAAAATGTATCGATCTATAACAATATAACAGTTAAAAATATGACAAAACCGGTCTCGAAATGACAAAACCAGTAAAGAGCTACCGGATATGTTGAAAGTATTGATATTTTATTATAAGTATCGACACTTTTGGAATTTAAAATAAAAGAAGTTATAGCGTCAATAAAGTGTCGATACTTTATAAAAATGTATCGATCCATAACAATATAACAGAAAAAAATATGACAAAATCGGTCTCGAAATGACAAAACCGGTAGTAAAAAAGTGTACTTGTGTGGTCATTTTTATTTCAAAATTTTCATTTTTTAATAAAAAAGTTGGATATTTTAAGCAAAACCCAGTAAGAAAAGAACAAAAACTTTGCAGTAACAAAAGAATAAAGTATTAATACATTTAAAATTGTATTAATCCCAAAAACATCAAAACCGATAATTATAATGTAATAGGTAAATTTACAATATTATTGGTTTAAATATACTTGTTTAGTTAGAAAATAGGTCAATATAAGCGCTACCTATTACATTATATAAGCGCTACCTAATATATTATTGTACTTGATAATATTTTCGATTAAATGATACAATATAACCGATTTAAATTTTAATCGATCACTTATTTAACAGATCACGTCGTTTTTTAACCCTTTTTTAGGCACCGCCCACTATATATGATTTATAAAAAGAAATTCTCACTTTTCTAGAGAAGAACCTACTTCTTGTTAGACTTTACAAAAAGTTCAATCATGAATGAGCTAATAGTAAAATATGCCCTTGGTTAACGAGTTAAACAGTTTGTGAGCGGTTTAAATTTGATTCGGTCAAAATTTAGTAAATGCTAGATTTAAGTTAACTCGAATCGAACTCGACTCGAGACTTTAACGAGTTGAACTGAATAAAGTCTAACTCGATTCGATAACTTCACAAGCAACTTGTTAATTTTTTAAAATATATTTTTAATAATTACTTCAAAATTATTTTATTCAAAAAATAAATCTAAATAATAATTATTAATATATTAATAAATAATAAAATATAATAAATTAATGAATATATTATTTTTTTAATAAATAATAAAATATTATTAATTAATAATATTATTTTAATACCAAAAAAACTCAACCCTAATATCCTCATATAGTATTAGTAAATTTTATTTTTAGTTTAAAAAATAAGGTACATTTTTTTAGTAAACTTAACGAGAAACGAATCTAACAATAAATTTTTTCAATGAGCACGAGTCAAACATTATTCTACTCGCGATTGACTCACACGATAAACACCTCTAATAAAATCCAGCTGACCGAAACAGTGCCACAGTGGAATCTCGGGTGAAATTGGCTACATTGTGTTGTCATGGAATAATATATTTCTGCCAGCCAAGGCAAACATTCAGGCCCATACATATATACATCGCTCGAGAGCATACAAGATACTACTAAATTTGATTATTAAACAATGGAATATGCGTATTATCGCTCGAGCGAAAACGATGTTAAATTTAATTACTAAACCCAAATACATGTGTGTCATCTCTCAAACAGAAATCAAACTTCGTGTATGTTTATATGTTTTTTTTCAAATAATGATAACTGAATTTCATTAAAAAAATAAAGGAATTAAAATTACAATGCATCTAAATAAAAAATTGAAGATAGTAGTCACTAAAATCTCATAGATAAAATTAAAATATTAAACTCAAAATTATGAAGAGACTGGCCACAAATAGAACTTACAAAAGGTCGTGTATATGCGTATAATGATATAACAAATAAAATTAACAGACCACATGAAAATAGATAATTGTTCATTTCTACATACCAATTATTTTAAGGGAAAACATCTAAAGATTACCATAATCATCATTTAATTTTTAGTAACTCATTATAATCGTTAAAAAAATTATAAACGGTATTAAAAGGACTTTTAATAGTAAAAACATAATGAGTTACAAAAATCAAATTAGTGAAGTCGTTATAGCATATTATAAACAAAAACGGATGCATGTGACCTCATAGGAGACAAATGTATATCCATTATTTTAAATTAGATATTAAGTATAGTTTAATATTTTAAAGGAAGAATAAGAAAAACAAGAAATTTTGTATACCCGTCATATTTAAAAAAATGTATTAAAATTTTTAGACCTCTATTTTTAAATTTTTGGATCTATCACTGTTTATAACTATATAAATTCTCATTAGGCTAGTGATATGTTATAACTCATATCATTATAGTATTTAGAAAGGATGAATTGCTAAAACATTATAGCATTTAAAGCATCTTAAGATTTAAGCATTTTTCCCCAAATACTTATTTTACTATATTTTAAAGAATAGCAATAAATATAGGTATGTACTCAAAGACGTTTGGCATATCTTTCTTTTTTATCATAAACACACACATGCCAAAGGATAAACGATTTTAATGGCTGTAAACTTCAATGCAATTCACATATCAAACGTCATAAATATAATGTTAAAGGATTATAAATACCAAAACTTTATTGCACAGCTCATAACAATATTCAATGTGCATCTTAAAGCCTTATATATCAATAACGTCACAACAGAATTTTAACGCACCAAAGGTGTAATTCATAGCATGCTCTAGAAACAAAGAATAACGCATCATAATTCTCTGAAGGTTATAAACTCATTTGAATACAAATCAAATTTTAAACGCACGATTTTAAAGCATGTTAATGTTTAAAGCAATAAACGTATACCAAAATTCGAATATCCGATTTTGCGCAAAAAATATCCGAAACCAGATTTGGAGAAAACCGTTTTTTTTAACAGGATCGGATATTTTAAAACCGGATAGTATAACCGGTTTGGGAAAAAATTGGACGACCGGATTTTTTACCGGATTAAAAACCGGTTTGAAGTTTTTTATCCAGAAAAAAATCCGGTCTGGGGTTTAAAAAATTGGATGACCGGATTTTTTACCGGATTAAAAACCGGTTTTTTTCAAACCGAAACCGATTATACCGGTTACATCATCCGGCCCTCCAAACCGATTATGATCCGAACTGATTTTTTTATAAACCGATTTTTTAACTTAATGAAAAAACCGGATCAATTTTAAATCCGACTATGTGCATCTCTGCCAACACCTGAATGCATACAGAAATCTAAGCACGCACAGTGCTGCTATCATCTTCACGTAAGGCTGTATAAACCTCCATCGGGGGGGCTGATAAACTTGAGGCAATCATAGGTGTTGTCATCTGCCATCTTTGCCAACAAATCTGTTACCTTATTTCTGTTTCGAGATCCATGCCGTAGTAGTACCGTCCAATAGCAATAATGCAGCAATGTAATTCAAAAGAGTAATCTTATTTCCATCTGTCGAAGCTGCTGCAATAAGATCCAATGCCTCCACAC